TGTAGTTTTGAAATGGTAGCCTCAGCAGTAATATGGTTCATGCTAAACACTTCTGGCCATTTGCTATAAGCATCTACTAGGATGAGATATTGTTGGCCGTTGATTGGTCCCGCAAAATCAACATGAATTCGTGACCATGGAGTTTCTGGGACAGGCCATGAACATAATTCTGTTTTTCGAGGGGATTTCGCAGATAGTTGGCATTTGGAGCACTTGCGTACAAGTTCTTCTAACTGCTTATCCATGCTCGGCCAGTAGACATAACTACGTGTTAGCGCCTTCATGCGGTTAATACCGGGATGTCCAAAATGAAATTGTTTGAGGACATCACTCCGTAATTCCGGGGGCACAATTACTCGTTCTGCGAAGAGTAAACAACCATCAACCTCGGAAAGTGAGGATCGACGTTGGTAGAACGGTTGAAGTTGTTTATCGGAACATACTGCAGGCCATTGTGTGCGGTGAAAATGGAGTACATTTTGAAGTAACGGATCACGAGCAGTGGCGTCGCGAACCATGGCGGAAGTAACTGGGAGTGCACGGATTGTAGTAGCAAGCACTGCGTTAACTTCTGGTTCCACCGTTATCGAGGCAACAACAGCATCCTCGGGTTGTTGACGTTGAGAATCCATGAGTCTTGATAATGCATCAGCTTGGCCAATAGCATCAGTAGACTGGTACTTGATGGAGAAGTCATAGCCCAAAAGCATTGTAGCCCAACGTTGCAAACGGTTGGCTGTGTAAACAGGGATGCCTTTCTTGGATCCGAAAACGGCGAGAAGGGGCTTATGGTCAGTGATGAGCGTGAAATGACGTCCATAGAGCATTTTGTGGAACTTCTTGATGGCGAAGATTATTGCTAAAGCTTCTTTTTCAATTTGACCATAATTGCGCTCGGTAACTGTTAGGGATCTAGCTGCGTGGGCAATTGCTTTTTCGTTTCCGTCGGGGAAAACGTGAGAGATGACAGCTCCAATACCATAGTTGGATGCGTCTGAAACAACAGTAATGTCCAGGGCTGGATTGTAATGTGTGAGTAGTAGATCAGAGCTGAGAAATGACTTTACTTTGTCAAAAGCGGACTGGCACTGATGTGACCAGTTCCAAGGCACATCCTTTTTTAGAAGATGATTAAGTGGTTCACGGACACGGTGCATGTCTGGCAAAAATGAACTGTAATGGCTTACTAAACCGAGAAAGGAGCGCAAGGTTGCTAAATTCGTCGGTGCTGACATTTGTTGTATGGCAGAAATATTTTCTGGGTCTGGATGACGACCATGTTCGTCAAAAATAAATCCAAGATATTTGATAGAAGTGAGAAAAAATGCGCACTTCTCTGCACGTAGACGAAAACCATATTGTTGAATCCGTTCGAGTACGCAATGTAAACGATGCAGAAGTTCTTGACTAGAACCTGTAAGAATGATGTCATCCAAATAAGCAGCAACTCCTGATAGACCGTTTAGCATGGCATCCATTGTTTGTTGAAATATTGCTGGTGCAGATTTTACCCCAAATGGCAAACGGTTAAATTGAAACAAACCGCGATGTGTGTTAATTGTCAGAAGTTCTTTGGAGTCATCAGAGACTTCTATCTGAAGGTAAGCATCAGCAAGATCCAGTTTTGCGAAACATCTTCCACCATTGAGCTTGGTGAACAAATCTTCTGGTACCGGCAATGGATATTGGTGAGAGTCTAACACGGCGTTTAATCCAGTGGAATAATCAGCACATATGCGCACCTTGCCATTTGCTTTTTTGATGACAACAATGGGAGCTGCCCATGATGAATGGTTTACTGGCTGGATAACTCCGGATTGCTGGAGACGAACAAGTTCATTCTCCACAGTTGCGAGAGCAGCAAATGGCACGGGACGCTTCGGTCTGAAAATTGGTGTGGAAGCAGGTTGGAGTTTGAGGCTTGCCTTGGTTTTGGTACAGCATCCAAGGCCACTTTGGAAGACATCGTTGAATTTTGTCTTCAGTGTGTTAGTAAAGTGTTCTGCAATGTCTGAGGAGGATGAAAATTTCAGAGTACTGCACACAGATGATAAAGGTACACTGAAAAGGTCAAGTTTCTCGATCCAATCGAGTCCGAGTATGTTTAATTTCGGACAATCGGTGAGATAGCACGTTCCTGAGAAGTGCACATTGTTGAATAACACATCACAAGACAACTTGCCTGTTAGTTTTAAAGTGCTGCCAGAGGCGCTTTTGGCCCGATGGTTCGTGGAGGATAAAACAGGTTTCCCAATTGATTCCCAAACTGAACGTGATATTAATGTAATATCCGAAGCTGTGTCAAGCTGCAAACGGATCGGGAAATTGTTGATGGAAACTGTTATGTATTTCCTGCGGGATTCAAATTCAACTTGAAACGTAGCAAACAGAGAATTGGATTGTATTCGTTGCTTGTACGTCCGCCTTTTGATTGAGTCTTTCATCGGACTGTTATCGTTCTTTGGGTTTAATGGTGATTTGGCATTGTGGGTACGGCAAAAGCCTTCTTTATGGCCCCAACGATGGCATGCTTGGCACTGATGTTTCTTGAATGGACAAAAACGTGCATAATGCCATTCACCACATGACCAACATGATGTTGGTGGCTTTTTTCCAGGAGTGACAGCGGTTCGCTTCAATGTCATGACGCTGCTGGAAATAGGCGATCGCGACTTTTGCTGTACCATTGCGGTATCATGTTTGAGATTGCGCAAGCGCTGGCATTCTGTGGTGAGGTCTTTTACAGTAATGTCTTTTTCGTGCTCAAGTTTGGATAGCAATCGCGTGCGAATATCTGATTCCTGAGAAGATTGAAGTCCAGCGACAAAAATGAGGCATTTGAACTGATCTTCTGTAAGCGATTGCAGTTGGAATTTCTCACATTCGCGATTAACGATACCGGCAAAAGTAACGTAATCGTCGGCCTCACGCTTGGCCAACTTGAGACATTTGTATCGGACATTAAAAAGTGAATGTTGGTCACCAAAAAATTTCGCGAAGTTGTTCCACCGTCTGCGCAAAAGTCAAATCTTTTGGGTGTTGTGGAAGGATAAAGTTGGTGAAACGGTCGTGTTTGAGGGTTCCAAGTTTCCGTACCAAGAGACGGGATTTCCACGCATCATCTTTACCGGTTAACTCATTCAAGAAAGTATCCTCCCAACGGCTGTACCACGAATCAAAGGTGAGACCAGATGCTGGCTCATGGTGAAATTGAGTTTTGGTGCAGTAATGGAATCCGCAAAGGATAGTGAACTTTGAGATGAAACTGAAGTTTGGAGATTGATGACTTGAGTGAGAGACTGGATAAGTCGCAATTGCGACTGTTCAAATTGCGCTTGTTGTTGTTGAAGGATTGATTTCAAATCCTCAGCTGAAATTGACATTCTTGGGTTCGTGAAGAGTTCCCGTCGCCAGTGTTATGTTCTCTGCTAATCAGTCAATCAACCTTGTCAGTTACACACGAAATTGAGAAGACAAAAAGCCTTGAGGAATTTATACTGCGGCAACTGAACAGCCAATATCGAGATTCGAAGAATCAGGGATGGAATGGAACAAACAGTCCAATGAAAGGCTGAAATATATAGAGAGAAATGTGAGCAATATGTTCGTAGGAAGAGTGCCTCCTAACAACGTTTATACTTTTAAGTCTGACCACAAGACTAGTGCCGCCCTTGTATTCACGAGATGAGGCGAAATGACTCAAGTGGTTAGTGCGCGAATTAACTGACTAGAATGTCCGTGGTTTGAACCCGCTCACTGCTTCTCGGCTTCCCCTGCCTGGGCTTGGGCAACCTGGCAGTATCCTAGCCCTGGCAGCCCAGCCATCATGCCAGGCACCGAAAGGGTGTTACAGGAGCAATTTTTCACTGGAAAAACATCATGTGCGAACGCCACCTCTTAACTACCTGCAAACAAAAGTCCAGTCAAAATTTTGGCCAGTTCATCCAAAAACTGAGGTCGTCTGATAAAGATTGCGAAATCAAAACAATATTTGCTGAGATACTCAAACGAAACAGATCGATACCTGGAAAACCGGACCACAGTCGATCGCCATTCCGGATAAACTGCTAACCCGGCATGAATTAGACCTAGACACAGCTTAGAAAGCCATACGAGATCTCAAACTTGCGCAGAAGCAGTTACAAGCTTACACAAACAATCTGTCAATTCTTCCTTCAGGTAGCTTAGCAACTGGACACCGGAAGGGTGTTACAGCTGAGCGATTCGCCTAATCATCTTGCCGATTGAAATCAATGGGTGCTGGGTCAATCCTGCTGATGGTATCTTGTCTCAATGTGGTTCTCAGATGCGTTTGTTTCACTGGTTTTGGAAGGTATGGACTCATCCCTCTTAACAATTTTCTCTAGAGACAGTAGTCTTCACGATAGGCCCCTAGCCGTCATCTTTCTCTTCACTTTTCACTGTAGCCTTTTTCGTTAGTTGTAGTTCCGTTAAGCACCAGCTTCGACTACCAGTTCATCTTAGGATTTCTAGATTCTGTTCTAGATCTTTCGGGACGAGATGGTTCAGTGTTTCGAGCACGAATTTACTGACCGAAAGGTTTGACCCACCCCCTGTATCTCGACTTCTGTCTAGGATTGGGTAACGTGGTATTATCCCAGCCCTCGTACTTCCTTCGGGTGGTATGGTAGCTATGCAACTGAAAGATTTATTATTTATTATTTAGATCTTTCGGTGTTGTACTGCGTTTGTGTCATATCAATCATTTGTAGAGGTTTTCTAACCGAGCATTGATTTGAATACGATGTTTTTCAGGTTGAAATTATGTACTTGTTTGTTGTTTTATTGATCACGTGCATTTCCTCTCACGGAGAAGACGGTAAGTTTCCAACTCTCTCGAACACTACATATTTCCACATCCAGCTACCCTAAATGACACGATTTTCATTCCCACGCACGACTGGCAAGTCGTTCAACCAGGACAGCAACTGCCTCCCTCCCTGCATATCCGGCATGATCTCAAGAAGGTATTACCNTTAATGGACCCGGAAGAGCGTACAAGTGAAAACTTGCCGTCACTGATCAGCAGAACAGATAATACAAGCGTTTCTTCCGTAGCAGGGAACGATTCTTCTTCTAGCAAATCTGATTCCAACCCATTTTTATTACCCTACATAGAGGAGGAGCTAGACGAGGTTTGTATTATCTTGTTGGTTATGCTGTATCATAGTCTCACATTCAACGCATCAAATCCAAGTTCCGATCTTACGAGGAATTGAAGGCTGATTTTCAAAAGATCAACGCTCAAGTGAAGATGGACTTCGAAATCCTAATGGAAATAATGGAATCGCTTAATAAGTCTGATATTCCCGATGAACGGCTTCCATTTCTTTTGGAGGACTTATCGTACTTGTTGCACCAGGTACGATTTCTCTTCATTTTACTAAATTCCGATCAGGTTGATAATGGTCGACTGTTCTCCGAGAACGAGGGTTTCAACTTACTGCGGAGATTTATGACACATCCAAATATTACCATTCAAAAGCAAGTGCTCTCCACGATGAGTGCTGCTATTCAAGGGTGAGTTGCTTCATCGCCAGTGTCGTCAGTCTGGTTTCCGAGTGAGAGCCCTTTATGTGTATATTCTGGTTTCTCGGATGAGTATGCCGCTTCTGATTTCAATGCAGGTGTCTAGGTGTGGGCGCCCTGGGAGTATCCCAGCCCCCGTACAACCATGACCTACACAACTAACAATATTCTCATGCCACATCGGCCGTCGCGTGGTGCCATCAGCCGGTCCCCTCCTCACCCACTCTTTTTCTCTTCTCTTCACTGTAGGGCTATGGTTGTACGGCAGTGAAGCATCAGTGCCAACACCGATGTTGCTGTCATTGATGTTGATGATGCAGGTGATCATTTTAGCTGTATACAAAGGCGCTTGTGTCCCCGCTCTAATGCACCGTAACTATCTAGTATGTTTAGTGATTTTCCGTCTCACCCACGTGGTCTGTGTGTCTGTTATGGCTTAAAAAAATCGTTCAGCTGTAGCGCCCTTTCGGTGCCTAACTGCCATGCCACCCGAAGGTTGCACGAGGGCTGGGAGACTGTCAGGTTGCCCAAGCCTAGACAGGGGAAGTCGAGTGATGGAAGTCGGGTTCGGACCACGGACCTTCCGGTTAGTAAATTCGCGCTCTAACCACTTGGGCCATCTCGCCCGCAGTCTACAAAACACAAACCCTCAGATTGAACTTTTTTTTCCATCTAATTTGCTACACAAATAGCGAAGAAAACGGAATTTCGGAGCTATATGGTCGTAAAGTTCCGCTGCGCTTTCCGTGGTTGCCACCTAACACACAGTCCCGTTACTTACCATTTTTCGATGTTGCGTATAAAGAACAAAATTAAACTCAGATAATCTAACTCCATCAATTGATAGAGCTAAAGGATGTTTTTATGCTGATTCGGCAGACTTGTCACTGTGGACCAAGTACTCCTACCAGTTGATTGTGAATGCTCGTTCGGGTGATGTCTGGGATTAGGCACGAGAATCTTCGCAACGGTAGACTCATCCCGCAGTTTTGTATTGATACTGAAATCCTCGACCTATGTTTTCGTCCCTTACAGCGAAAACTTTGAGCCTTTAACGAAGGTTTCTTATCTCCTTGAATGCTCTAGAGAACCACAGCTGTTCCCAGCTAGCCAAGTTTCTTGAGAAGACTGCAAATCCCTTTCGTATAAACTCACATGCCAAAAGTCGGTTACACTTTCATCCTTGTCACTTCGGTGGGCTAGTTTTTTCTAAATGGATTTCGTTTGCTTATATGTAGAATGTAATAATCGAACATGTTGGCGCACGACAGATTATCTTTCTATGCTGTATCCCAACCAACACCTGGGAGGACCTTGATTGTCTATCTTCTAGGCTAGTGCATTTTGGTATGCTACTGGAGGCTATCTTGACCGTTTTTGTTACGGTCTGCCTGGGAGTTTGTGCGCATAGAGGTTGACTCTGAAGCATACGCTGTGAATGCTTATCGTCATTAGCACAATATCTTTGGGGGAAAACTACTGTTGTTTTTTATTGCGTTGAATAACGTACTTTGTATCACAACCCATAAAGCTGTAGAAAATCCGTACCGAACGTCATATCCTTCTGCACTGATCGAACTGTCTAAGAGTATCACGGGGGCTACGTCTGCTGCAGCTCCTCCATCTGAGTAGCAATGGCGATGATTTACCGAGTAAGAATTTAAATTTGATAATGCGGTTTCTCGTGACACTTCATTTCGTATGTCTCATTTGTTGATTCAGGAACTCCGATGTTAAAATTGTCGCACTACAATCTGGGCTGTTGGACATGCTCTGCCTCAAACTGAGAAACTGTACCGATTCTACATATCCTCCAGATGAATCTGTCACCCTGATAGCGAGTGTTTTAACTACGCTGAGTGCTTTGCTGCGAGACTTTCCGTCTGCTCAGAAGTATTTCTTTTCTACGGACCGTGCCATACAACCGTTACAGGCTGGCTTCGATTTGCTGGCAACGTTGTTTGATTACAAGGTGGACGGGGAGGAATTACGAAACAAAATGTCACGCATACGTATTCAACTTCATCTCTTCGTCTCGGACTTGGTTTTGGAAAGGGTTAGTTGTTTCAGATTGTTTTTCTTCAGTTCATCATCCAAGAACATTGGTTGGGTGCTTCAACCGATGATTCACCGCGGGTGCCACTGGTAGATTTCGTTGGTCTTTGTGGGCTTGTGAGTGTTGCGACAATTTGTTGGGGTAGGGAATGTGGGTGAGGTCAAGTGGAATTCAGATGATGAATACTCTTCTTTCTGATAATCGCACACCAACACGTGTCAGCTCAACTGATCCAAGACCGTTCTCCACACGGTCGTCAGCTCCACACTGGGATGCTTGATTTCTGCCGCCTCGGCTGTCAGTCTCCGTGACTCGGACCAAAGTCCTCGCCTCAAAACCTCAACATTTTCTAAATCTCTTTTGTTTCCCGTGTCCAGTGCGTGTTCCACATTTTCCGAGTCTTTTAGTAACGCGCGATATTTATTCGCGTTTCTCAAAGGCTCGGTTATTTATATTTATTTATCATATAGACAGTGCATTCGTTACACTTAATTTTGTAGACACAGTTCCTGGTTTTGTTTGCCAGGAGGCCTTCCTTCAACTGCACCAGTGCAGAGCGCTGAGTGTTTCCTCTCTGGAAATCTACTCTTATGTTAGCCATGTGTAGAGTCCCTCGAATGACTTCCGATGTCCTCGGTTTATGTGGAATAACAATAGTCCCGATCCATTCCCTTTTGAGTTCGCTACCGATACCAACACCCTTCGCGATTGACGCCTAATCAAACTATCCGGATATCCACTATCCTGATTCTTGTTCTTTAATTTGGGTCGCTGTTCGATCAGTTTCTTCTGTGCGCAGGGCTTTTATACCCCTAAACATTAATGAAGCAATACTGGCGAATACCGACTTTGGATGGGCAGACGAGTGCCCCCAGTGTCAGTTGGTTTCTGGTACACTGTGGTCTTTAGTTTTCCCTCGACCTTATGCGTCGTGCAGTCTGCTGCAGTTAGCATAGAGTTACTAATTCTTGATTCCAAATTCAACGGAGTTTGGTGTAAGGTTGTCTTTCTTCCACACATGTTCTAGTTTTAATCTGGTAGCCCGTTCTTCGTGACATGGTTTGTTCAGAAACCTTTGCTTGGCGTAATAGATTTGTCTCCTAGTCGTTTCCATTTCAGGGTAACCAGATAACGTGACAGCGGTGTCCTTTATTGTCTAACTTTACCGGACAGTTGTTTCAATAGCTTCATCTATTTCCCATCCTTACAGACTAACGCAAAACAAAGGGCTTCTTTGCCATCAGAACAACATAACAAACGACTGGTGAAATTGTATTCCGAGTGAGCTGTTTCTTAAGTATATTTCCTCAGAATGATTTTTCATTTGCCTACCAGTTCCACCACAACAAACTACTCTTCATGATTGTTCTGCCGCCTTTTTTGGTGTTATTTTTCTTTAGAGAGTTAAGCAATTACTGATTAGTTGTGCTTCACTCCTATCCATAACTAGTATTTTCTGATGAAACCAAGTACCATGTGATTTTCGTGGTATGGCCGTCATCCCATAGATGTCTTTTTGACTGCGGGCCACCTGTTGAAAGGAGGCAATTTTCCTTTCCTCAAAGTGCCTGTGTGCTGCACTCTACCATCAGTGTCAACGCTGGTGTTGCCGTCTTTGATGGTGATAGCATTTTTTTTACACGGAAACTTGGCGTGCGACTCATCACGTACCCACTTCTAGTTTATTATGACGGACTCCTACTGGCTCCAAGAGTATCGTGTAGTAGTACTGCCGATGCTCGGCAAATCTCTTGGAAGTGATTGTTCTAGAAGACATCTGTTTAAGAATTTGCCGTTTGTGCAAGTATTTCTTTGTCGCTGAACCAGTATCTCGACGTTTATCGTTTGCGAATGGATTTTCTAGGTAGGGATCGGTTAATCTTGCCCAGTCGTCTACCGCCAGGACGCCCAGGTCTATACAGAAGCAAGCCTACCGGAACCACCTACTGAAGTCTTTCGGACAAGACGTCTTCTGATGTTGACTCTTACTCGAAAGTACTGTCTGAAACCTTGAAAGATGTTTGGCGCTTTGCTTGTGTGGCACAACCAACTTGATCTCAAGCAACATTCTAAAATTGTTCGAAGCTAGGATACGTATTCCTCCTAGTTGAGTATACAATACCGCTAGGTGAACTGTCAAACTTCAGGTGAAAAATAGCATCTGTGTGGATCTAGAAAGCTGAAGAGATGAGGGAGGCGAGAAAGCCTGTGAATATGCGTAAACCGTTCCAGCTGATACGCGGAATGGGTCCTAAAAAGCCTCCGGTGAGAAAAACAATCGCAGGTAAGAACAACTCGGGTATGGATTGAACACTTTCAAGACCGATTCAGCTGGTCACCTTCAGTTGCTCGGCAGGATTCCGAACCGGCAGTGCAACCCTGGACAGTTAAGTTGGGACCTCCGGAAAATTCGAAAATAAGCGCATGTCTTTTGACTTTCAAGCATCACCGAGCGGTTGGTGCTGATGATTTCTCAACCGCCCTGTTCGAAGGTGGTGAAGTGGTCAGTCGGTGCCCAATCTGAACGGAAAAGAACGTCCGAACCATCTGGGGATAGGTCGATAGTAGTGTCCATCCTCAAAAAGGGTGTTCGCAGGGAGCTTCGAGTCCAAAGAGGAATAATCCCAACTCCCGCTTTGCATCTCCTTTTTTACTTTATCTTACAAAGGCGCGTGAAAATGGGCATCGAAAGCTGAAAGCAGCACTGTAGCTTGCGAGGGGGCTGTTTGGACTACATCTTTGTACTCCGTCAAGTGCTAGAGCAGTGTTATGTGTATACACGCCCAATGTTGATGTTCCTTTACTTGAAGGGTGCGTTTGTTTCTGTTAATGGTGGATGGTTTCTTCGTTTCTGTGACCTTTCTGGGGTCCTGAGTCACAGAAAGCAGTTGGTCGAACTTACGGATCTGCCTATCCTTGCATTGCCGGCCTTGCGTAAGCTTCACTTCTGGGGTTTTGGTGTTGAGTCATAGAAGGTCAACTCACCCAAGATCTTCAAACCGGAATCTCAACCGCCGACTTCCAGATGCTCAACACCAAAGCCACAGAAGTGAAGCTTATGCAAGGCCGGCAATGCAAGGATAGGCAGATCCGTAAGTTCGACCAACTGCTTTCTGTGACTCAGGACCCCAGAAAGGTCACAGAAACGAAGAAACCATCCACCATTAACAGAAACAAACGCACCCTTCAAGTACGGAGAGCGTTGAACACACTGAGACAGGTAGATAGTATTGTCATTACCAAGGCCGATAAAGGTAAAGCCACAGTAGTGATGAACAAGAGCGGCTATCTTCGAAAGGTCAGGCAACACACCGATGAACCCTATCGACAAATTACCGGTAGCAGTATTACTTCAATAATGAATAAGAGTAAGGTTGAAGTTGGTAGATATTTAAGATCCGTAATAAACCATTTAGGGCAAGATAAGTGGTATCGGTTGTATCCGAAAAGTGCGATTCAACGGCGACTGTACGAACTGCCAAAAATCCACAAGGCTCATGTCCCGATAAGGCCAATAGTGGATGGTATAGGCTCGCCAACACATGAACTGGCCAGATTCTTAGCTGGTATATTAAAACCGCTCACGGGGAAATCAAGCACCTTCATCAGGAATTCGTACGACTTTACAAGCAAGGTCGCAGGGATTCCTTTGAGGATGGACGATTCCTCGTGAGTTTTGACATAATCTCAATGTACAAAAACATCGCTAGGGCAGATGCTCCGGAGGTGGATAAGGTTGTTACTGGCAGACACGACACTCAGGGAATGGACACAGCTCTCGCTGGATGAACTAGTTGAGGGAATAAGAGTGTGTTTGAATCTTGATCACTGTTTTTGACACAACTGTTTGCTCACAAGAACAAGTTCTTGCAATGGGATCCCCAATATCCCCAGTTTTAGCTAGTATTTAAATGGAGGACTGCGAACAAATAGCCTTGGCCAGATATCATTGTCCACCGAAAGTTGTTTGGCGTTGTGTTGACGACACCTTTGTTGCAACCAAACGAGATCCCGATAGTTTAAATCCACACATCAAGTTCAGCATGGAAATAGAGTTCACCTCGGACACATTACCCTTTCTGGACTGTATAACACATAAGATTGGTGGAAAATTAAAAACGACTACCTACCAGAAACCAACAGATACAGGAACCGTCTTAAGCTACTCATCAGCACATTCAAAGTCCGTGTGCACCAGTATTGTCTCACCGATGTTTCGTCGAGTCAGAGCGCTGTGCACAGAAGAGATAGTCCGAACGGCAGCTCATATCGAGAATGCCAACAGACTTCAAGAAATAGGATACCCAGTGAGTTTGATTAGGCATCAACTAAGAACGATATTAGCTCCAGTATCTAGACCCAGTATGGAGTGTATTGACACAGCAGTCATTCCGTTTAAAGCAGGAACATCGGAGGTTATTCGAAGATTGTTGAACTTCGCTAACGTTCGATTAGCTTTCCGGAAGGGAAAAACGCTGCGCTCAGTTTTGGTGCAGTTGAAAGATCCCTTGCCAGTTGAAGGGACTAGGGACTGTGTGTAAAAAATCAACTGCAACGATTGGTTTAAGGTTTACATTGGGGAAACTACCAGGGAATCGAACACCACAATTGGTGAGCACAAATGAAGGATACCAGAAGAATACCAAACACTGGTCAAATACTCAGCAATGGTGGTACATGTCTTAGACACGGGACAGAATGGATCTGGAGAATGTGAAAGTTTCAACACGGGACTGCGATTCACACCACAGCGGCTAATAGCTGAGGCGGTGGAAATTACTAGGCTTCACAGG